AAATTAGAATATTATCTAAATATATAGTATAAAAGATATCTAAATAATTATATAAGATTTTATTAATAAATCTCTAGAATAATATTAGGGCTCTAGTAAGTCTAAATAATATTATTAAGGATTTAAATAAGCTTAATTAAATTTAAAAAGTAATAAGATATTCTTATCCTTTCTTAATTTATAGATTATTAAAAGTAAAGATAATATTAATTTTTAAGAAATATTTTATCTCTTTTAAATTATTTAGTATCTCTTTTATTAATAATAATAAGTAATAATCTTTTATAATAATTATATTTAGGGCTTAGTAATCTATATAGAATTATAGGCTTTCTCTAGATTTTTTTATAAATAGAATAGGGAATATAGTAGGAAAAAAACTAAAATAAATAAAATCTTTTTTTAAATTCTCTTTAATCTATTTTTTTAAAATTTTTAATTTATTTTAGGACATACTATATAGGCTCCTAAAAGATAGGGTTTTTTTAAGTAATAGTTTAATCTTATAATTATTAGATTAATAGAATAGTAGGTACTTGGCCTTCTTTAGTAAGAATATATTATAAAATTTAGTAAACTTAGGGAGTAGTTACTCTTATAGCTTAGATTTAGTAATAATAATAGGGTTTAGAGTAACTTTAATATTAGTAATAATAATAGTAAATATCTAGTATCTATAGTAGGTATATATAGTATAAGTAGTAATTAAGATTCTAGTAATATCTTAATTTTTTAGAGATTTAGGGTGGGAATTAAGATATTAGAAAGAAATTTTTAATAATATATTATATAATATTAAAATTTTTATAAATTTTAAAGATATATTATAGTACTTCTTATAATAGGGGCTTTTAAATAAAATAATATAATTAATAAATCTAATCTAGAAATTATAAGTCTTTAACTAAAATAAGTTAAGAATAATAAAAAAATATATAAATTAAATTATAAAAAAAATAATATTCTTTTTAATATAGTTATAAATTTTTTAAATTAAATAAATAAAATAAATAATATAATTAAATTTTATTAAAATATTATTAAATTCTCTTAGTAAGATAAGGTTCTTTAATAATAATATTTCTAATTAATTATTTATAATTTAATTATAATTTATAAAATATTTATTCTTAACTTTAGAGTTAATTATTATAAAGATTAATAAAGTCTTATTAGAGATTTTTAGATTAATAAATAAGATTATTAGTTTAAATTAATAATTTTCTTTCTTTATTATTATTTTAGCTATTATAGCCTTTAATAGATAGAAAGAGTACTAGGGGTATTCCTAATTATAGCTTAGGTTAGAAATACTTTATTTTCTAATTTAGGGAATATAAGGTATTTAGTAGGTAAGATTCTAGTTAATAGGGGATATAGATCTAGTTTAGTAATAAATATAAAGATATAGCTAGTTAGTCTTTAATTAGAGTATAAGTAGCTACTTACTAGATAGTTAGTACTACTATAGTAATAATATAGGTATTAAGTTTAATAATTAAGATAATAAGTAATAGATAGGTTTATTAGATCTTTAGTAGAAGTAGTAGTAATAATAGGATTAATAGGGACTATAGGAATTTAGGTAGCAGGAGTTAGCTTTAAAATAGATTAGGAAGGCTAGGAATTCTTTATAAATAGGGATAGAGTAGTACTTATATAATAATAATAATAATTTTCTAGATTTTATAAGTAATTAATAAAATTATAATATTATAATAAGGCTTTAAAGTATATTAATATTTTTTAAAATTTTTAGCTAATAATTTATTCTAGAATTATAAGTAAAATATCTTTATTTATATTTTTTTTTAATATAAGATATTAGAATTTAGTAAAAAAAATATTAAATTTATAATAAATTTATTAAAAATAAAATAAATTAATATAAATATTAACTTTTAAATTTAGATTTTTAAAAACTTTCTTTAAAATTTTTAAAATTTTAATATAATTATTTAATTTATAGATTCTATCTTAAATATATAATAAGATTTAAGTATATAAGATTTCTTTAAGGTAACTAGTTATATAAGTTATTCTATTATTTAGGGTTAAAAAATAGTTAAGGTTTATAATTATTTTCTAGTAAATTTAAGAAGTAAAGTATTTTAAGTTACTTTATTAATTATTAAACTTATTAGGGTTAGGAAGTTATTTAGAGGTTTAGATAATAAAAATAGGTATAGTAAAAGTAGTAATAGTAATAGGAAGGATAGTAATATTAATATCTTTTTTAAAAGAAAATAATAATTAAAAAAATATATTATTCTAAATAAATACTTTAAATAATTTTTATTAAGTTTTTTTAATTTATATCTTCTAGTATTTAATTATACTATCTTTTTATTAAATATAGTTAAAAAGATTAGTAATAATAAAATATAAGATAAATAATTTATAAAGTTTTTCTATAATAGTAATAAAAAACTAGTATATCTTAGTAATATACTATCTTAATTTATTAGAAGTATTATATAGGAGGGTTTTTATATCTTTAGGTAGTATAGGTAGTAAGGCAGGCATGATAGTAGTAATTAACTTCTAATAAACAGGAGCTATATAATATTAAGGGATAGAATTAGATTTAGATATTTATTAATTAGGAGCTAACTAGATAGAATAGTAGAATAATAAGTATTAGGTAATAGATAGAACATAGCTTGAAGAGCTATAATAGGATTAAGGACAACATGACTTAAATATAGGGATAAGGGCGGACAGTTAAGGCAGAATCTAACTAGATAGGTACTATGGCTTCGTGCCATGACAATTTCTTTTTTTTATTCTAGAGAGCTAATTTAAGGCTTTAATAATATAGTTTTAGAATAATATTCTCTATAAAAAAATAATATATTATTAAGCTTAACTTTTTAATATTTTTATTATATATATTAGTAATAACTTAATTTAAAAACTTCTTAATTTTCTACTAGTCCTCTATCTATAGAATAGAATATAAGAAATTACTTAAGAAGGATCTAGAGTTATTCTACTTATTAAATTAAATTAAAATTATTTCTAGATTTAGTAGCTATATTCCTATAATTTACTATAAAGAAAGAATATTTTTTATTAATAAGATTTATTTTTAAACTAGCTAGAAAAAATAAAAAAAGTCCTATTTAATAATATAATTAAGGCCTATTAATTTATATAGAAAGTCTTTAAAATTCTTATTATAAGTAATAAAAAGAGAGCTAAAGATCCTAATATTAAATAATTATAATAAATAAGTTAAATAAAGTAAATATATTATTAATAAGATCTTATTAGTATTATAATAATTAATAAACTTTATAATAAGGTAAGATCTATAATTATTAAAAATAAGAAACTTTTATTACTTATATATCTTATTTTTAATTTTATAGTTAAATATATTAGTTAACTAGGTATATTCTAGCTTATTATTAGTCTAATTACTTATAGAGAAGGTAAAGAAGTAAGAATAAAGCTTAAGATTAAAGTCTTAAAGCTAGAAATCTTATATATTATTAGTAAAAGCCTAGTAAATAAAATCTAGTAAAAAAAAGATTCTATTAGTATAAATATAAGTAATTAAAATTATTTATTTATAATTTTTATTTTATAAATATTATTTAAACTCTTCTTTAATTATATATTTCTACTTTAAGAAAATCTTAAGATCTTTAACTAGTATTTTAATAAAAAATTCTTTCTTATTTATATTATAGATATTCTCTAGCTATAACTTATATTATTATATTTTCTAGCTTAATAACTTAAAATATAGAGTATATTTATATATAGAATTAACTTATTTTTATATAATATTAATAACTATTATATAAATTAAAATAAGATTATCTTAATAATATTTTATAAAATACCTAAACTAGTATTTTCTAGACTTCTTACTAGTAATTTTTTTTATAAAATTCTAAAGTATCTTATAAGATATAAAGAGGCTTTACTTAATAAACTTATTAATATAGCTTATTAATTTTTTTTTATATTAATTAGTAAGAATTTACTATTACTTATATTAATAATTTTTAGGATGCTATACTCTATAATAGTATTTTAATAATATTATCTAATTAATACTAAACTCTTTTATAATCTTAGTATAATTAATTAAATTACTAATTTTTAACAAGTTAATTACTTCTATTATGGCTTTAATTAAACCTATATTAGTTAAGATATAAGTTATTAAAAATTATTAAAAAAACAGTTAGTAAGGGGAAATCAGGCGTCAGGTGGGACTGGGCATCAGGTGATCACCAACTATAGTAGGTCAATGACTTTCCCCTTTAGAAACTCCATCACACTATAACCCCAGCCTCGTTTATCCGAAAAAAGCCATATATCCATGGAATACAAACTATGCAGCTGTCCACAAGTTCATAGGCTATCTGTTAATTTTCGGCTTTTTCTTTTGTTACATCTGGACCCGACTTGACCACTTGATGATCAGATATTCTGATAATGCGCTTTCCGTACTGGCTGACAACATTGCATGGCAACGGATTTGCGCAAGAAGCATTCACTGAGGCCTGGAGGTATGGGGGAAGCGTCATATTCTTCTATAATAAGGCCGAGGAAGGAGGCAGCTGTCAAAAGATGCTACTTATGCCGTTTGGATAGGAAAGAAAAGGTAAGAGGGTGAAGACAATAGAAAGCAAGAAGTCAACTCCACCAAGAACGGGAGACAATGACTCCTACCTAGGTAATGCTGAGCGGTGTACAAGGCAGAACAGACCACTTTCTGGCCAATCTGGCGGGAAAGGGAGTTGTATTGACATAGTAGTATTTGATTCGTGGTGTTCTGATACTACTGTATGGAGCATGGTTGTTCAGTCCCCTAATCTCTTGCGCCCACCAATCACTTATGTCTGTGTTGTGGTACACTACAAAGAGTAAATAGGAAACAGATGAAGTTGGAAGCGAAGAGCAGAGCAAACAAACAGCAGGAAACGCAAGTAATATACTTGGCCATGTACCCGGCCCTATTCCAATGATACGCACCACAGTTAAGCAATAAATTCAACACTGGGCTGACCGAGAAAGTCCCGAATCGGCTCTGGTGGCCATGGCCCCGGGGCATATCCCCCACAAAACGAATGCCGACCTGATCCCACCCATTGTTCCTCATCACGACCAGGAAGGATAACGAGGGCGCTGCTATTCGGTGGTACAGCGAGGTCTAGAACAAATATATCGTTGTCCTGCACCTTCCAAGCACACTCTACCCTGCCGTACGAAGTTTCGTAAGTCGCCCGTGCAGAGGTTATCGTACCCCCCGGAATGGGCTGGACCCTGATCTTCTTCCAGCCGGGATCAATTGGAGATATACCCGCAACAGTGGTGTGCAGCCAGTTAATTACTGACCCGAGAGCATAATGATTGAAGCTAGTCATCTCGCCGCTATTGATAGAGCCGTCTGGTGTCATGCTATCCCAGCGTTCCCAAACAGTGGTGGCCCCCATGGTAATCGGGTACAGCCAGGAAGGGCAACCTTTTTCAAGGAGCATTCGATAGGCCAGCTGTGAGTACCCTGCACTGGTCAGTGCGTGTGTGATAATTGGGGTGCCAACGAAGCCAGTCGATACACGGAAAGCTGCGAGACGGACGAGGTATGCTAGCCGTTCTCCTGCTGTGGCCTTCTGCTTGTCCGTGTCGTAGAGGGCGAACATTAGGGCGAGACTAAGGGCTGTTTGGGAATCGCCAATAATAAGACCTGAAGGGGCGATATATTTCTGTTGAAATATCGCTTTCAGACGGAGATAGTCATCGTGATAGCGGGTGGCGTTGGACTCTTCATGAAGGATCTCAGAGACTTGCGCAATAATCAGGGTAACCCGGATCAGGTATGCATCAGCTACAAGGGTCGCGTTGGTTCTGGAATTTCCTGGCTGGTCTGGTGGCGCAGTGGGATCGAGCCAGTCACCTAGTTGCCAGCGCTCAATGTTCCAAAGCCCGTCTGGTCCGCGAGGAATGCCCCTGTCAACCCATGTGATCATGCTTTGATATTGCCGGCGCAAGATCTCCACGTCACCATATGACTGATAGAGTGCCCAGGGTGTTAGAACAGTCGCGTCATCCCATACTGCGTGGGGATCCCCATCCCAGCGGTCTTCAAGGGCATTCGGGATAACAAGGGGGGGGATAGCGTGCTCCAGGGAGAGATGCTCCAGTGCTACATCCTTTAGCCAATCCCCTAGTATCCCGGCCGTGTTGTAGAGAAAATTGGCAGACGGACAGAAAATCTGAATGTCACCAGTCCACCCTAACCTCTCGTCTCGTTGGGGACAATCAGTAGGGACTGAGAAGAAGTTTCCACGCATGCTCCACACAGCATTCTCATGTAGTTTGTTCACCATCGGGTGGGAACAGGAAAAATGACCCGAGCGAACCATATCTGTATGCATCACCAAGGCACTCACGCTCAATGTTGTTAGAGGGCAGATCTTGTCTGCTGTTGACCACCCGTCCACCTGCACGTAGCGAAAGCCATGGTAGGTGTACTTGGGGGACCAATCCACCAGGTCTTCATCGGATGTGATGATTTGATCAGTACATTTTGCGTCACGAAGAGGACGTACTCCAAGCTCTCCAGTCTCCATCACCTCTGCATGCGCAAACGTCAGTTTAGTTCCTGATGGCTTCTTCAGATGATGGATACACAGTTTTCCAACCATATTTTGACCAAAATCAATAACCGTCTTCCCCAGCGGCGTAGTGAAGATCTCAACCGGTTTGATCACTTCGATAACTCGAACTGGGGGAGCATCGGGAATAACTAACTGGGCAGAGGGCAATGCAAGGCTCCTTGTTCGCAGCCACGAGCTGTCATCAAAAGCCTCGCCCCCATTCCACCCTTCTTCCTCCTCTCGCGCATCATACAGCTCTCCGTCGTAGAGCTCGGACCGGATAATAGCACTCAACTTGCACTTCCAAGAATCATTGGAAACAAGCCTGAACTCTTCTCCATCCTCTGAAACCATCTCTATCTGGGCCAGCACCGCCAAATCCTTCCCCCAGATACAGCGCTTCCCCCCCAGGAACCCCAACCGGGTCGCATACCACCCTTCCCCGACTTCTACAGCAATGACGTTCACTCGGGCTGGTTCAACCAGGGTCGCGATATCAAACACCTGGTAGTTGATCCGATGATGGTAACTCGTCCACCCCGGCGCAAGGCATTCATCCCCGACTCTCCGCCCATTGATATATGCCGTGTAGCTACCTAAACTCGTCATATACAGTCTGGCTTTGCTGATACCTTCCGTCAATGGAATTGTAAATGTCTTTCGAAATCGCAGTGGGCGCTGGGGTCCGTTTACTTCGCGTTCTTCCGCGATAGTAATTGGCCGTCCGATCCAGTCCGAACGGTTCAGGAGAGCACACTCCACCATCGCCCATGGGGACCAGTCGGTTTCTCCTGAATCCTTTGTATGCTCACTGGTTTTTGTTCTCCCATAAGCACGAACTCGCACACGAGCCCGTTCTCGAGAGAGCAAGGGCCGGCTAGGCCAGGGAACTAGTACCGAGTTCCCACTGGAAATGTGGTACGTTTCGACCTTGGAACCGGGGAGATGAATTAATTCAACATCATACGCAGACTGTTCCCAATTTTGAGTCGTGGATGGTGATGAGAGGAAACGCCATGAAATGCGCGGTGCAGCGACCTCAATGCCAAATCCGGTGGGATGTTGCTCGAAGGAGGGTGGCGTTAAATGGGGGTTTTCCTCGGTCATAGTGAAATGAATTACCAAATAAAAATAAACCTAACTAATAGAAATGGGTGATTACAGGATATTTCCTGGGGTTCACGGAACATATTATAACGGGGATATATGATCTACACCCCCGCAACAGGTCGGTTGTCTTTGTCCCGAGTCTTATCCGACAGCTGGCCTCTTTTGGCTAAATTCCAGCCCCTGTCTTACCTAGGTATTGGGGGTTGTTCTCGCATATTGGTTCCAGGATCTTGGTTATGTGCTGTATTGGTGTCAACCATATCAACAACCAAAAGATGTGTCGTCTTGGTCAGAGATGGTGTAGACTCTTAGTGGGGAGCGGCGAGTGGAGCAGTCTGACTGAGATTCGGTTTTGTAGAGGTATTATACGAAGTAGGGCTTGTTGCAAGAACGTTTGTTGAATTGTTCCGCCCCAGGAAAGGGCCCAGAGGGGATCTTTGGAGTCAGAAATTTATTCAATTAGAAGTTCCGCACAGCTGAGCCCAAGGCACGGATAGCCCGGTCCGTGGGATATTGAGGAGATCCTGCGCGGGTAGGGATTCATTTTTCGGGTGGACGTGGGGGTTCAGGTTCGAGCCGACAGATGCATAGGCGTGGATGATTTTTTTCTTCCATTTCCTCCGGATGCACCGAGGGGCAAGCTACTGGACCTTTGATATCGAAATCATTTCCCCATATCAGGAATCGGACCAGTGACTGGGCGTCATCGGGCTCGATGGCGATGCGAAAGACTCGGGGGGGCTGCATTGCGTTGCTCTCCCTAGGGGCTACCTCAACTAATGTAGCCTGGGTGAGAAAGCAGAGTATATTATTAGTTATTTCCTTGTACACTACCAGTTGTACTAAAATATTAGACCCCAGAGGATAGTCTCGTGGAAAGAAAACCCCAATACGAACACGCCAAAATATCCAAGACTGGAGCCCACCTCCTAACCCTAACCCCAATTAGCCTGCAATTTCCCACAGCAGGTAGCGGGTGACAGATAATTATTCCTTATTGGATTTCTATGCCAGGATGGAGGTACAAAGATGATTCATTTTAATTTTCACCGTCTTTTTCAACGGTTTTCTGAAAAATCTCCCCCCCTCTCCTCCAAAAATGTCCATCACCGGGTTGGCTAAATTGTACCCTGATGACCTTCCAGGACCAAATTACCCCAGATAGTTACGCATTGGCAGTTGGGCCCCCGAGTATGCATTTGTGCGGTTGGTAGCAAAGGCAAGTGGATATATAATTTGGTTTGAATTTTATGCTTGACCGTCATTGTGGTTCCAGAATATATATTATGGCACCCACCCGCTTTCTAGGCGGGGAAATCTATCATTTCTAGGTAGCAGGGTCTGATCGGGTTCATTACTATTGCACGGTAAAGAAGATAATGAATATTATTGGTTCCACCCAGGCCGTCCTTACTGTCGCCGCTGCGACGCAAAGTACCCGGCAGATCATTGTTGACGCGTCAAAGATCGTCGGTACCCTAAAGAACCTACAAGGCAAGACCCACTTAACTGCCGATGGATAGAATTACTCCGTACACAATGGACCTAACAGTAGACTAGGGGTCAACAGTGCAGATAGCGGTAGGTAAATGAACCACCACACCAAATAGCAGAGTGTGCTTACGGGCATTACCAGCATATATCCCCCCCGGACCCTGGAACCAGGACACCTTCTACAATAAGGACCCTGCCATAGGAGCTCTATTCCCTGAGTATGCAATCAAAAATGTTCTTATATGTGAGTCTCCACCCCTGTCTGCCGGAATACTGCGCCCTGACTATCCTGGATGAAAGACAACTTTCCGGATATCTTCCTAGGCTGGGGGAAAACGGGCGTGGATGGGGATCCTATGGTGAATGACAATTATAACTGGACTGGGGTAGGATTTTTCCTATTTCCAATATGACCCTTACGAAGTTGGCATTGAAACCATCCTAGGCCGATGACTACATGCGATTTGTCACTAGCAACGGGGCCAAGGTACAAGCCTTCAGTCCAAACATTATAAAACGAAAGACTAAACAAATTCCAGGCCACGATCCAGTTTCAGGTACAGTTTTTGTCTATCTTCCCAATGTGGCCCAAAAACTTTCCTGACATCTGCTCAGCCGACAAACGGGACTAACAGCAACGTCTCCTCCCCGGAAGTACTGGGCGAGATTGGCTATATGGTCACAGATCGCTACATGTAAGGTGCTCGCTACAAGAAATAGTTATCCGCAGAATGATTAATCATAGGTCCAAGGAATGGTGCCTATGATTCCGGCTTCTATGATGCGCTTGAGCTGTTCGAGTTTCTGCCAGAGACGGACTTGGTAGGTATTCCGTCCCATATGCCTATTTGCCCTGACAACTAATATCGAGATAGTTGAGGAGCTACTTTTCTAATGATGTGTACGAAGGGTACTTTTCTTATTTTGCTGCGTTCAGCCGCGCTGTCACGAACGCAAGGTCGGTTTTCTTTCTCTGTAGTTGAATCCTAACTGATCATACAAAGTCCCGCGGTTGGGGTGTATGTATATGATTACCTTTCTTTGCCAATATTTCGACTAAATAAATTGCCAGCGCTGCATGGGGCGGCAACCAGATATGTAAGCCACCAAGTCCCCATCCCGAGACCATATTCCTGATGATATCCAGATCCTGTGAAAACAAACTATTCGGTAAGATCCACGTAAGAATTCACAATGCAAGGAACTGAATTTCTAGGTTTTCAATCCATACGTCTCTCGATTCTACAAGGACTGCCACGACCGTAATGTTCCTATCAGGGCTGCATCATTCCATTTTATAAACACACAATTTTCCTTTGATCGTATGTTCTCGTGCAAGGTATCAGATCTTGCAGAATACTAAAAATTCTCAGCATACGATATCAAGCGGGTAACGGACAAATTCCGCGCAGAGATTCTGGTCCCTGCCGGGTTGCCAAATCTCTCCATATGGGCCACTGAATACGAACCAGCTCCGTTTCCAGCTCTACCCACGTAAAGAAAATGCTCTCCAATACATGGAAGTGGGAGACACTGACTGTGACTCAATTAAGATCTGCAAGTGCCCTTGCGTCCTTCAACGACCCAGCTTGGTTTGCAAGTTTTACTCTCGGGGTGGTAAAGTTATTCCTTTCCCCAAAACATATGCAAGGGTACTAATAATTCATCTAGTCAATGTACGCCCAGGATACAACTATTGACCAAGTCCTCCCATGGCCCGGGCTCGGCTACAACGGTACCGGAGCCGGTAAACAGCCATTCCAGGGCTTCTTTAATCGAAGCTCATCCGGCCCCATCCCACTCAACGCGGCAAAGGCATGGTTTCTGCAGGGAAAGCTGGTTACCGAGACATCTCATCGAGTCAAAGTTGATGGAAGTTCTGAGGATGGATTTGCGGCTCTTGCTGGGGTCTCGACTAAGGACAAAAAATTGCAGATATTGTTGAATAATTACCAGCTCGATTATGATATTGCAAAGCAAATTACAGCCCAGATGGTGAGTTAATACATGTTCATTGTGAGTTTGTTTTCTTATGCTTAATCCTGCGCAATATAATAGGCTTCCCTTTTGAATACCTCTGCCTCGGCTTATCCACTTCTCCAGGATAATGGACGTAAGTAACCACGGAGTGTCTAACCTTTACGCCTATGCTAAGTCAAACGTCGTATATAGTTTTGAATGGGGAGTCGACCTGTTTTGTTACTGGAGGTAGGATTTCCAAAAAAAAGGACCTGTCTCTAGGCTCTCCAAACTGATGATCATGATAGCATGCATGACATTTCCCCAGGCTACAGTGCGCAATAACACTAGTCAAGCATACCATCTCCATGTGGCCGGCTTGCCCTGGAGCAATACCGATCGCTACGAGCTCCAGGTCGAGAGAGTAGCAAATGAAGTCACTGACTCAATCTACGTACGGAAGAAGGGAAAGGGGAACGTTATTGGTGAGTGCCCCATTGACTGTTTATGCTGCACCGTGTTTAACCCACAGATTAGATATACTGATCCCCTTTCCTCCGAATGCGCAAGACTTGATAACTGTGCAGAAAGTTGCCTATTAATCAGTCCCTATGCAAATTAACATGAGCATTGGAGAGGGTATTAAGCTGGTGTTTTGATTCTATCTTCGACCTGGTCCCAGGTAATTATATATCTTGACATCACGATGATTGTGCAAGCCAATGCCAACTCCAACCAAACTCCACCACCTTGTTTCCTGCACCCATCAATAATAAACCGGAGGAGGTCAACGTCGAGGTTTAATGTTCCTACTGATACGAAGAATACTCGAGGAAGCGAGCTCCAGAGAAGAAACCCCAGCCCCAGCCCCAGCAACCTCAAAATCCTCGCCTCGGGGACCACTTTCCTCGGTAGGATATTATTGTCGTATTCGGACCATATAAACTTTGATTCAGTCACATACATTCAGGGGTGGAGTTTTGTATTACAAAATTGAGTAATACATAGGATTTCGGCCCAAAAATCGCCAATTACTCCAAATGATAGTATAGAATATGGGTGGTTTTACGAAGATAAAGCATATAGTAAAACTCTACCGAGGTCTATGTTAAACAAGTCATAATCGGGCGTTTTTACACCGAATATCCCTGCATTCTTTAGGCTGAATTGGTTAGGGTTTAGCCGAACTTTTCGAAAGATTGATCGCCAGGAATGGAAACCCTTGCGGTATTTCTAAGCGCTCGTCCCGTAACTATCCAGCAAGGGAGAAGGGAACGGGCAGTGTTGAGATAAGACCAACAGAGCCAAAACAACCATAGATGACAAGAATCCCATAATCCCCGGCTTCGTGGACCCATCAATCGTTTATATCAAAGACACATTCTACCTCAGATATGTGTATGGGTCGCTGGAGTGAGCCCATTTTCTTCGACTTCCACGGAGTCGACCCTGATATATTCTTCGACAATGATGGCCGAGTCTTAGAAAGAAACTCGAGGCATCTAACAAGGTTTATCTGGACCAGGGCTAGACCGCAACCTGCCAAATAGAGTTGGACAAATATGCTCTTAGCTTTTGGTCGCAGGAGCATGAACAGTGGAGCGCGGAAGCTGGGAAGCTGGGAAGTGCAAGGTCATTTTCTCGAAGAGTGTGGATCCTAAGGATGAGACTATGGAGAAAAAGTTTGAATTACTGGGGTCATGTATGCGGAGTGGGTTGTAACCATGTTTTGACATATCTAGTTAGATAGGTACAGATCTACCATCATGGAAGCTGCTAAGGTCCCATATATCAGGACCCAAGCAAGCTAAACTAATAAGAGGCCCTAGCGCGCAGTGATAGACCTTGACATCCCCTGGGTGCCGTTGCGCATTGGCCTCGATGAGAACGAACAAGCGGACAAGTGCACTAGTGGCGACGGTGCGGGAAGTGGAAGACGAAGGGGTAGCAGAGGAAGTCGAATTGAGTTGAATAAAAAGATGGAAGGTACCCAGATTTAGGAGACATCAGCTTGGATTGAATTGCCCAAGTTACTCGGCCGCTGGTAGCACCCATGTGGTGACTGATTCGCTAGGAATATTACCGCTCCATTCATCACCACTCTTCATGGACACACTGAGGTAAATGTCATTTCCAAATGTATTGGTAATAACCACAGTCCGCGTGCCATCGGGATTGATCGAAGCAACTGATTGAATTCCACCACCGCTGGAATAAGTATAACTGCCACTGCCATTAAGCACAATGGCACCTGATGGCATGAATTTGCTGAATTGGGCCATCATATAATAAGCCATATTAAATCTGTAACTCCCGTTTTCCACAGTCACCAAGCCCTGGCAGGCATCACACCCCCCGCTTGTGAGATGAGGTCCATCTTGAGCATTTGTGCCTAGAGTCCAGGCTGCGACTCCCGAGGCCCAGTTCTGCAATGGCCCCATGGTAAAGTCTGCTGCCTGATTCCAAGCCGCCGATGCTGGGGTCCAGCACTCGGTCATGTACTGCTTTACATTAGGATTGGTGGTATGGAATTCTGAAAGCACACCCCAATCCACATTTGATGCATAGCAATGCCAGGCCACGGAGCTGACGTACTGGCCGGCCTCGTTTATCACCGTTTGGGGATAGGATGGAACATCTTGCCAAATAGGGTGATTAGCAGGAACCGTGGAGTATAGTAGGGGAAGACAATACCAGTATTATGGTCATAAGCCCAAATCTCGGTACTCAGTCCTGCCTTGCTAATCTCCGGACCAATATAGTCCCGAATCAACTGCCCAGCTTCATAGTCGTAGACATACATTGTTGGATATCCCGATTGACTATTGAGCGGCTCGTTTTGGATAGTTATCGCGTCAATTTGCGCACCAAGCTGCTTGTACGCCTGGATATATTTGACGAAGTACCGAGCAAATGCACTTGCATATCCAACACTCCCTAAACCTGCGCTGGTGAGGTATCCATCGTTCAAGTTGTTGTTGGCAGTATTTCCACTAAGCACACCATTGATCTTCATCCACCCAGGTGCACTCCAAGGGGACCCAAGGATTTTCAGCTTTGGCTGGAGGGACTTCATAGTGGCTAGTAAGGATGCCATGGCTGTACCTCGGTCCCCTAGATTGAAACCCGTAAACGCCTCGTCAACTGTGCCCCCATTGTCATCATAGGTATATGCTGGGTCACCAGAAAGGTCCGATGCCCCAATAGTGTGGCGCATTAAAGCAAAGTTCGCGCCATTGGACGTCATCAGCTCATTGAGCAATTCTTGGAGAGAAGAGCTGGAAAGTGTGTTGAAGGAAGTAACAGTTGCATCAGTAACAGCAGCGCCAAATCCTACAATGGTCTGTTTGTGGCCGGTAGCTGTATCGTCAACACTCAATTTCCAGGTAGATTCTGACCCAGGATTGCCTGACCCCTGAACTGGTGCAGCTACAGAGGATAGTTTGTAGTTTCCGCCTGAGTTGGAGCAGTACGCTGAAGCCTCTGTTCCTCGTTTCTGTTCGACAACCGCGCTTGTTGCGTGCTCGAGCAGTGCAAGGCTTGCAACAAGGCTCAGTGGGAACTTCATGGTATTCTAGTCAGTATTTCTGACCTGTCTTCAGTTTTCCTCTGTTGGCAAGTGTTTCTGGCTTGTGAGAAAAATACAAGTGTTGTATAAAAGGGTTTCATCAACAACTTAAATATTCAATGACGGGAGGTGTACGCGGATCTCCGGCTCATCCACGCTCACTCGATTGAGAGAAATATACGACAGCTGAGACTAGTGTCTGCTCCTTAGCAAAAAAAGCAATTTCGTTGAGGAAATGCAGGGTAATAAACACAGCCTGATTGTGCATATGGATCTAATTTGAAGTCCACTAACCTAACGCTCTGACATTGTATACGCCCCAGCATGGTTACATCTGCTTTTCCCTTTATTAAAAAACCCGAGTTACTGTACAGAATGATATAGAAGCACGTTTTGGAACTACTAATTGTATCTGGTATGATCTATTTGGCATTGTTTACCTGGTATTGATCCTCGAGTTTTGGAGTCAGCCTCTAAGATGTCCACTACTACTCCAGTGCGACTGTACTAGATTGTGCATTTACCGTAATTGGAAAGCGCCTACTACTGCTGCCGATTTAGCCGATCAATCGATAAGATACATCTTGTTTTTGCACGGGTCTGGTCGATCTGGTGTGTGGATACTCGGGTGTGGGGGGGATACTCTTTCTTCAGTTTGTGAGTATACAGTTATATACACTGTATGAATATCAGAGTGCTTTTCTATAGATTGTAATGATATTCTCAAGTTACCTGGCCGATTCAAAATTAGTTGCATCTTAAACTGTAAAGAAATAGTCATATGCTTATAGAATATTGTATTATTCGCAGTATGTGGTTATAAACCAAGGAGATATGTATAGTATAATGGAATATGCGCTGCGCCCTGATTTTGTCTTAGATGCGAGGACATGATTTGAGCAGACCCTTGATTACAGTTACATCGTGAATCTAGATCGCTTGGCATGGGGTACTCGACTGTGGGGGCCAGAAATCAGGGCTTTGAGGATATGGATACTTGCCGGAGCATTGTGCCGGACCCTTATACCGGAGCATTGTGCCATACCATTTGAACTGGACCATTGTGCCATACCCATTGGGGCTTGCATCCTGTGAGAAGGAACATCCACATGGTATAGATATCTGCTTTTAATTGGAATATACCGGTTTGTCTTCGTGGCTTGTGGGTATCTGCAATGAGGCAATGCCTCTCGTTTGGATTACCTGAAAAAGAAAGCCGCTTGCCGGCGAGGGTATATAAAGGCGTAGTAATACCATCACATTAAGCAGCAAGACAACAGCAGATTCTGTACAACCTCTACCTGTCTTTATATAACTCGCGCCTTGTTGTTTCCCTTTGCCGACTATCTTCAGCATGAAGTACTTGTACCTTGTCTCTACACTCTGTGCCTTGGGCCAGGCCACTCTGGACAAGCCAGCTCTGACAGATAACCTGGACTACTTGTGGCAAGGAAACATCAATAATCTGAATCCGACTCAGAGCACCTGGGATCAGTGGGGTTCCGGTTGGATCCCTGCTGATTGTAAGAGTATTGCCGAGAGCCAGGGGCTCAGCCCCAGCGACTTTGAGGTGTACAATGTGCACTATACTGATGTAAGATGACTACCTGCACTTGTATTATTTAGAGGTCAATGGTATTCTAATCTTTGCTACGAACAGTGTGGCGATGCCTGGGTTTTCTGCCGCCATACAAGCTCGTCAATTGATCTTGTGTCAACTATTGACATCTTTGGCAGACTCCCTGTCAGGACTCGTAGTTGGGTATGTACAGGAAGTCTAACGGTATTATCGTAACTAATTCAAGGAAATAGGTCCGACATGTTATGACTATTCCAGGGAATGACTGGGCCTTTAACTCTAATGGCAATATTGCCTTTTCTGGCAAAACAGCCGGCAATATTGATGTTGCAATCCATGAGTCAGGCCACAGCCTTGATTTACTTGGTGCATATGGGGAAGTTTTGTCCTGTATGTTATTCCTCCTTGCACTGTGCTCTCCTAACATGGAAAACCAATACTAACAGAGATTTAAAGCAAGCCAAACCTGGCTAGACAACTATAACCAGGATTCGAATGTGCCTGATAACTATGCACGTACTAATCAGGTTGAGGTAAAGAAAGCTGTCTATAACCCCCGAAACACATGTTACCTTGCTAATATAACTTTAGAACGTTGCCCAAAATACCGTTGTTAGTGTTTATGATAAAGTGGTTCCTGGTGGCTTAGGCTCTGTTCAGCCCAATTGGAGCAAAATCTTCCATCAGTACGCGACACTGGAGTGGAAGGCAGGGGATCACATCATCCCTGGTGGAACTTGTGATCGCCATCTGATCAACTCCGAGACTGTGTCTATGACATCGTCCCAAAAGCGTAGTACGAGACTCGCAGACAAGCCTTCCCACGAGTTCAAAGGCACTTACAACAATATTGTGAATAACTTCACATCCTTTAGTACAGAGGCGGACTGCAAATTTACCTGGGCCTAGATATTTGGTCCTTGCGTTTGCGGAATCCTAGGCTATAGGACTTGGCCCTTTTGATTTATTTGGGCGGATATATGGCTTGAGGGTATGTTGGGGAGATATTAGTAGGATCAACTGGAAGATGGATATGTGTTTGTTATAAGATGAAAGCTGAACTTGGGGATAAATGTTTCTATTTAGAGATGATATTTAGTATATTTATACTTAGTCTTTCTATATACTACATGCTTTTATGGGACAGATTGGATTCCCCTGATTGAAAAGAATACACAGGCGTTGCCTGTGACTAGTTATAACTATAGGACGCTAAACTTAGCTTAGCAATAGATTAGCCAACTTGAACATTTTAGTTGACTAGTTCGTTACCTATAGGAGTCAAGTACTCCATACCTCAGTGCCTACTCGATGGTTAGATCTAATTTAATCTTATTATAATAAGACCCTACTTCAGCGAGCCGGCACTTTTAGATTCCTCTCCTACCCAACTACGGAGTACCTGCTCTGTGAGCCACACAAAACTTTATATCTTGCCGCTACATTAGTGCATCAAACACAATCCATAAAAAATATGAACCCATGCATGTCGTGTGATAATGTTGCCTGGCAACAGACTCAAAATATTACAGCTCTTCGGGCGATCAGACACTTCATCGTGAAGCACCAAAAGGGGTCCCCGTGGGGTTGGGAGATCCAAACGCTGGGTATTTCAGCATAATAATCTACATAGTATTCCAGAATTGTGGCTTTGTAATCATTCAATTCCCAGAGCCTGGGGCGACTATGTTCCCTAAAGAAAAAGTTTGTAAAAACATCGCCAGCAGCTATTTCACCCACTTGCAGAGAGACACATGCCACCTCTATAGCAACAGCCAAGGAGACGGGAAGATATATGTATAAGCTCCGGGGAATATCTTGGCACGCAGGACCAAGCTTGAGCCAATTGAGACAGCAATTCCAGCAACAGTCCACCAGTGACTATGGGGACCGTGTATGCAGGAAGGTCGTCAGCCTGTTAGAGTAGTAACTACACTAGTTATCACTGGGTCTCAGCGGCTCGTCAGACCCTCAGCATCTGCTACTATTTCATCAAAAATACTTCAGGTACAGAACGTAAAACTTACTCTTAATGATACTGAAAAGTGAAACTGGGAGCTACATAGGCATAATCAGGATGGTAAGGTTCCTCCCCCCCTTTTTTTTTTCTGTGTTAATATCTGATCTGGGCGTGTTATAGGATTGGCCAACTCATTCCATCTTTGGCCATCATCAGCACAGAGATTTGATCTTACCTTTTATAACAAGCCCCCCAGAATGAGAATTTTCCTCCTGCGGACCTTGTCTATGGAAGACCAGTTTTGTAGTAGGAACCACAATATTGCGTTTCATTCTGCAGGGTACAGCCAGTGATGCTGTAGTTCTGGCCGTTGAGGACGCTTGGATTCCACAGCACAAAATTGGCAATACTGACTCGAAACAAGGATGCAGCGTCGTAGCAGCGAATATTTCCGTACGTGTTATCGAATACTTTGAAACATTTTTCCAGGGATCCGCTAGTAAGGGGATACGAGGAAGTCGTGGATGTGATATTGTATGTTACTGGGGTTGCAGTGGCAAAGTCGGTCCAGGCGATGCTGGTGCTTGTGACGTACCAAATAGAGGTAGTTGTGGTGCTTGTACCGGTGACATACCCCGAGTAGGTGGAAATGTCTCCGACGGCCTCAACGCAGTAGGATTGACCTGTAGAACCGCGCAATGAGGACTCCGTTCGAGATCAACTGATGACCGCCGGTAAGGAGGTACTTACCGGCCCAGAGATTGGGACAGTTGGAGTCGATTTCAGGATTCAGGAAATCGAAATCAGTCAGTGTGATCCTGTTCGTTACAGTAATAAGCGAGCAATGTGTCAGAGAGAGAACATTACCTTCCTCATAGTATATCTCTACAGTTCAGTGCAACAAAGGAAGAAACGAGAAGCCTACAGTCTCCCGCGCTGACATTATACCATTGAGCACAATTTGTGTTAGATCCGGGCATTACATTGGTAGGTATGGCTACGGCCGTCGCTGTTGTTAAAGTAGTCGACGCGTCGGTTAGTTGTACGTAACCCACAGGATTCCCTACACAAACGACATGACCTACTTGAGACGCCCAGTTGCCGCAAATCCGATCGATACTGGGATTCCAAGATAGTAACTGGGTCAAGGTAAGAATGTACAGCTCGCCAGGTCGCCAGGTCGCCAGGTGGCTACCAAATTTGACGAGTTGGGACCAGGTAGGACTGGTAATAACCAAATTCTATTACCATATGTGACAATACTAGTAGTAAGTTAGTAATATATTCTATAAAGCTGCAGGATTTAAAATCACCTATCTAGTAGTATTAGTTATGACTAGTCATGCCTAATTTAAGTAGTAAAATACTACCTAGCAAGACAAGATTTAGTATAGTATATTTTTTATAGTATAATATAGTATATTATTTTTAGTTAAGACTAGTCAAGACTAGTACTTACTTAAGTAAAATATATATCTAGATTATATTATTATAATTATTTTTAAAAAAGAACTAGAGATTCTAATAATTATTAGATATTACTAGTAATAATTAGAATTTCTAATTTTATTAGTAGTTACTAGTAATTACTAGAATCTTTAGTTACTACTATCTAGATAATAAGATATAGATTACTAGAAAAGATTAGTATATATTTATTTTTATTAATTATAACTAGAGGTTCTAGTAATTACTAGTAACTACTAATAAAATTAGAAATTCTAGTTATTACTAGTAATATCTAGTAATTATTAGAATCTCTATATCAGGGGACAGAGTCGGATTCAGATATTCATTGACTAGGAGCTAACCAGACAGAACAGCAGAATAGTAGGTATTAGATAATAGATAGGATATAATTTAAAGAGCTATAATAAGATTAAGAATAATATAGCTTAAATATAGGAATAAGAGTAGATAATTAAGGTAGAATTTAACTAGATAAATATTATAACTTTATATTATAATAATATTTCCCTTCTTAAGGTTAAGCTCTATTAAAATTAGGGAGGAATTAGCTAGGGTTTCTTAGAATAATAAAAATAATAATTATTTACTAGTTAGTAAGTATTCTTTAGATACTTAGTAGGCTCTTTAATTAGTTTATTATATCTAATTTACTTAATAATATATTATAGCTTAAGTTTACTATAATTTTAATAAATCTATTAAAAATTAAAAATTTCTTTAATTTTTTATTTTTTTAATCCTTTTACTTTAATAAATAATAGTAAATTAAGATATTAATTAGGTAGAAGATTATTAATAGTAAAATAAAATAAAAATATATTAAATATAAAATAGATTCTTATATTTTTAGATAATTTAAATTTATAAATATATAAATTAATAATTTTCTTAATATAATATAATCTAAAGTTTTTTTAATCTAATTTTTTTTATAGGTAGAGTATTTAAATATTATAGGTATCTAGCTAGACTTCTTATCCTATAGTATAGTAATATATAGGTTATTTTTAATAATTAGCTTATATTTTATAATAAGCTTAAGTAAATAAGATTTTAATATAAATAAACTTATAAATTTTATATATAATATTAATAAATTTCTTAATATTTTTCTTAATAAGATAGATAGTAAGGTAACTTAATTTAAATTCTAATATTAAGTAGAATCTATAATTAGTTATAAATAATAATATTCTTATAAACTTAGAATAAATAGAGTTAATAATAAACTTAATTATTAATAATTATTTAGACTAATTATCTTATAAGTATAATATATATATTTATAAGTATTATCTTAAAATAATATTAGTATATTTAATTTAGCTATTAGTCTTAAAATAATAAGTAATAGATAGTAAATTATAAATCTTTAAATAGAATATTAAGTATTTCTAGAAAATAGTAATAAATTAGACTCTATAATTTAATATAATTATTTTAGGGATACTATAGAGTTTCTAGATATATTTAAAGTATAGATTAGTTATTTTTTTAGTATTAATTATTTTAGTATAGGAGAGAAAGTATTTTATCTTTATTAAATAATTAATTATAATTAAGATAGTATTATAACTATTACTTAATAATAAATATATAATAAAGTCTATACTTATATCTTATTAAGTATATTTAGAAATTAGTAAAGGCCTTAGTATTTCTTATTTTATTTCTTAGAAAGAGATAATTTAATAGTAAAGATAATAATTCTAGATTTATTAATTAATATATTTATAAATCTTAGACTAGAAGTATTTATATAATATTAATTTATATATTTTAATTTTTTTAGAATATCTAGTAATAGGATTTTTATAATAAATGTAAGCGTCTCGCTGGTGAGGCGCTTGGGTATAGGTAGTGTTGGTAAAGGAAGTAAAGCTATATAGAGTACAAGGGCAGTAGAAAGGTATTAGAAGTAATAAAATAAAGTGCTTGCCTCTTAATACTTTAGAGGTTATTATATTACTATTTATATTACCTAGTTAAGTTACTAGTATAGTATAGGTAACTTAAATATTACTATTCTTTTAATTACCCTTAATTATTTAATATATAGTTTAGCATGTGGTTATATATTATATAGTTACTATAATAATTACTTTCTCTTTTCTTAGCAGCATGTCCACGCACTGCGTGTACTATACCTGATCTAGCTTAGTACTCTATTAAGGAGGAGCTAGTCTTAGTTAGTATAATATAACTTATTTTTTTATTTAATACTAGAGATAATAATAGTATATATAATATTATTTTTATTAATTATACTTTATTAAATAAAATATAAATAATATTATATTTTACTTTAAATAAAATAATAGATAGGAGTAGATAATTTACTAAATATACTAGTAATAAGTAAAGATATTATTATAATATAAATATTATAAGAAAATACTTTTTTATATATATTCTTTCTAGTCTAATCTATATTTTAAAAAGTTTCTCCTAATAGATTAATATATTATACTAGGTAGGTTATTATTACTTAAGTATTATAATAATAGCTAACTATATTATAAATCTTATAACTCTTTCTAAGTATTCTTTATTAAGTATTATACTAGCTATATCTCTATAGAAAAGAGCTTATTTAATAGCTATTATTTTTTTTTTTATAAAAGTCTTTATTCTAGTAATATAAGTTTATTATACTAATTATTTATAAACTCTTATAGTAAACCCCCTTATATTTATATTAATTATAATACTTATAATTTCTATTATTACTAGTATATTTTTTATAATTCCTGCTATTATTACTTTATTATCTAGTAAGATTATATCTCCCTTATCCTCTATAATTACTTCTAGTATTATAGTAACTCCTACTATCTCTTCCTTTACTTTTTTTACTATAATAACTCTAGCTACTTCTACTACTATTATTATACTAGCTTCTATTATTGTACTGGCTCTTATTATTCTTATTATTACTATAGCTCTAGCTACTCTAACTATTCTAGTTATCTTTGCTGGCCTAGCTACTATCATGTGGATGCCATATTACCTATATTATACTAAGTCTTAGTAATATATAGATAATAATTCTATAAAAGCCTATTCCTATATATACCTAAATCTAGAATAATAGTATATTTAGTATATTTATTTATATAAAAAATACTTCTCTATTATCCTGCTTATATAGGTTAGTCTTAGGAAAATTTAGGTAATATTTAGTAGAGTAGCAGGCATGATAGCCTGTACCTAATAGGCTTATATTACTAAGATTTTTATTTATTATCTTAAGATTAAGAACTAGATAGAAAGATTATTTTAATCTATTAATTATAATATATTTTACCTACTTAATATATAGTATATTAGGAGTAGTATAATAAAATTAAAGAATAATAATAAGAAGATTTAAAATAGTTATAATAATTAAAAGTTTACTAATATTATAATATAGATATTTTATTATTTTTATTTTTATATAATAAAATTAAGTTATTTTTTTAAAATTTTTTAATATCTATAATATATTCTTATTAAATCTTAAAATCTAGTAAGAAAAAAAGAAAGAATAGTATTATTAATATATTTTTATAATTTTTTTAATTTTTTAACTTTATTAATTTATTATTTTTATATTTTATTATTTTATAATATTTTACTAGTACCTTACCTATATCTTATTTATATAATAAAACTTATTTAAGATATCTTATATATTTTCTAAATTTTTTACTAATTATTAAGTATTCTTATATATTAGTTATCCTTTTTATTTAATTAGGTATTAATCTTTATTATATAGTTTTTATTATATAATAATTTATTCTACCTCCTATTCTTTCTTATTATTAATAATAACTAGTTAGGGTAGTATTAGTAAGTTACTATCTCTTATATTTTATTTCTTAAGGAATAATATATAGAAGACTAGGTAGATTTTTTTATATAATTTAGATAATTATAAATAGTATATTTATTAGCCTATTACTTTAATTATTTTAAATAATCCTTTATATTTAGTATCTAGCTTCTTACTAAGCCTCTATATATAGATATTTTTTATAGATAGTAGTATCTATTAGCCTATATAATATTTAATTAGATAATACCTCTTATTATAACTTCTTATTTATTATTTAGTAATATAGTATAGGCTCTCTTCTAATTAATAATATTTTATTTATAATTAGTTAAGTTATTCTTCTACTATTATAATCATGCTAGAGTCCTTAATATTAGCAAGCTTAAATAGTACTAGCTAGTAACTATATTATACCTTATAAGGAGATATTCCTAATAATATATTTTTTATATTATTATATATAAATTCTATTATATCTAGCTAGTTTATTTAATTAATTTATTAATAATTAATATAAGTTTTTAAATAAGTTTCTAATATCTAGTTCTAATATTCTATTTAATTATTTATTTATAAATAAAATATAATACTTAATTATTCTTTAACTTAAAGCTCTTAGTATAGCTAGGTCTAATATTTACTAATAAAGAATAAGCTATAGTTACTTACTAGGCTCCTTAATACTCC